AAATATAATTGTCAAATATATTTTTTCATATATATTTAGTTAGCACTAGTCCACTATAGTATAAGTGTTTTTACATTGCATTTGCTGCAAACTAATTACTGCTAATAATTTGGAATTATAATCCATCTTTCTTTCTTTTTTTTCTAACTCGTCTTTATCTGCGGATTTCTATCTAACGTCAGACTTGTGTGTAGAAATCGTGGAGTTTTTCATTTCAATCTTGCATCGTCTCAAAGACAATTTCTGGTTTCTTAGAAAAAATAGCTGTTTCCTATAATATACTATATAATGTATATAAATATGTATAGATAGATATAGAATAAAAACTATAGAATAAATAGCTGAGAGCACAAGTGCTCTCAGCGTTAAAACGATTCTCCCACAATTCAGAGCCCATATAATAACTCTCCTCATAACGACGCACCCCCCCCCCCCGTTGAAATGTTGGTCAGCTTTGCTCATTAGTTTCAGATAATTCTTTTTACCTTGAAAATAACTTCTTTGATACTGATTATTAAAAAGTATGCAATGTTACAAAATATATTGCTATTATTCATACTTTTATTTATTCATTATGCAGTAGAGTAATATAAGTTATATTTCAATGCTTTGAATATATGTTCGGCTCATTTTGAATTCATCTAGGTTTTCGAAATAACCAGACGAAATGAAAAATATCGAATTTAAAGTTTTACTCCGATTTTATGTAAAATATACCTAAGGCTTTGTTGAAATGAAAAGTATTTTCTGGTAAATGCAATGCAAAAACACGCATATGCTAATTTTTATTAACTTACAGTGGTGAAATTTTACCAGTAATTTTTTCCAGAAAAATCAAAAATGTTAGGGAATATTTCCATATCGTGATATGTCACACCCACTACAATCTCCAAGTAGGTTCCCGTTCGCACCTTTCTAAATCAGACATCATTTAGCACTCCTTACCGCATTCAAATTTCGATATTCTTTTACTTCTTCGGCAACCCCATTTTCGCGCAATTTTATTCTTTTATTTAACATTGATCGTCTTCATAAGTTTCGATTTAAATATTTTTGAAGAATAAGAGAAGCAAAAAATAATAATAAACAAAAATTACGATGGAAAAAGTTTATCAGATAGCATCCACAACTTTGTCAAAAAAAGATTTGATCAGTTCAAACAAAAAGAGCTTGTATTTTAAATTACCAGCGGGTGACCGAGCTCCGCTCGGAGAAAACAGGTATCGAAGTTAACTCGAAGATTTAAATTTTCAATTGTGATTTATCAAAACAATACATGCCATAAGAAAATTTGTGAAACCATTGGTGAAAAGATAACCGGTTAAAGTGCACCATTGTAAACTATCTAAACAAAGTTTGGAAAGGGAACTATTCTATACAAAGGTAAAGTTTGAAAAGTCATAGGAAATAAAATGTAATTGATAACAAAAAATTATACAATTAAAGACACTGTTCACAACGAATTCGTAAATTTGCTTCCGTTCATCCGCTTCTTGAAAATTCTTGTCCAGGAAAAGGCGTCGATGAGAGAGGTATTGTCGAGCATAAAAGACGATGTAAACTCCGCAGGAAGACGCGTCATCTTGGTGGTTGTAAGCGTTGCGAGGTTTCACGATGCATCCTTTCAGCTTTTCATTCGTAACAACGGTATTCAAAACGTGTCGCAGTATTTTTCTCAAAACAGCATCGATGGGCAGCGGGTTGTCGACTGGATCGCAGACTAATAGTTGACGTTCTCCATAGCTTGCTTCGTAAATTCCTAGCATCCAGTGCTCGCCTCTATCCATTTGAGCTCTCTTGTGAATGGGAATGAGTAGCACGTCGAATCCTTGTTGAACGCCGTATAGATAGTTGGAAGCCTTGTTCTGGTCGCTGATATCGTTGAGAAGAGCCATTCCTTCATAAGCGCCATCCGCTGTTGTAACGTAGAAGCGTGCGACAAATTCAGGGTGAAGTACGGCAACTTTGACGGTCGGGTAAGCTTGTTCGGCGTAATGGAGAAGCATTCTGACAATGACGGTATCTTCTAGTTGTCCATTTGCGGGTAGAATTGAGTTGATCGCTTGTTGTTCCAAAATTCCGGCTCCTTGAAGAATTTCATGTAGAGGTGCGTTCTGCATGTTGAAAATGTAGCTTGAAATCTGATGAATGTTGAAATGTCGGACTTTGTTGACGGTGATTTTAACACAAAAGTTAAACTTTTCTCCACTTTGATAAATGTAAACTAATGCGAACCTTACAATTAAATTATTAATTCCTTCGTATATTATTGGTTTAAGTTGTCGAAAATTAATATTTCAATTGTAAGGTTCGCATTAGCATACATTTATAAGAGTGGAGAAAAGTATCTATAGCCATTATGGCGAACTAATAAAGTTTGAAAATATCCTATCTGTAACTCCGAACTGCTCGACCGTAGCGCTTCAAAACCGGCGCCAATCGATTCCTCGGGGCCAAAAACCCCAGACCCCCAAGTTTACCGGAGTTTATTAATTCTGGGGCGATTTTCGACTTGGCAACCATTCCTCGTATTATAGTATAAGATTTAACCGCAGTTATACAGGCATCACATCGTTTCTTAAGGGACTTTATTCTACTTAGGGAATGGATTTCTTTTCTATTTTTAATAGTATACCACAGAACTTGAAATTTTAACTCTTAGTATGCAGAGCCATGAAGAGTAGGGAAAGTGAGCATCTACTCAGGAACCTATAAGGCTTTTACGTTGATAGTATTAAAAAAAAAAAAATTATAATCTAATAATTTTAATTTTCAAAAATTGCGCAGTATTGATAATTCAAAAACCTTTTTGTTTTATGATAACGATGAATTGAGAAAGAAGCAAATAGTATCCTCACGTCTAGCGAAAAAACTTTATCAAAATTAGAAAATGAGATACATTTAAAAAAATTTTTAAGTTATTTGATCGGGACCCTTAAATAAAAAAATAACTTACTCGGTTTTTTCGCTAAATTGTTAATTTTAGAATTTTCATACGGCTATCATAACTGCTTCTTAATTTTATGTTTTGACTTACTTTTTTTTTACGTCTATTCTAAAATATATCTTAATGATCACTATTAACTTAGAAGATAATGGTAAGAACTACTTTTTTTATTTAATATACTATTTATATTTTATGAAGTATTTATGTTCATTTAAAAATTCCTGTTTAAAGTAATCAATTTTGAAATTAGCGTAAATCATTTTTGCATACGAAAATACCAATAAAAATATTGTTATTTTAGAAGAAAAAAAACTATATTCTTAACTAAATTGCTAAATTTATTAAAAACGTTTCTTTTATTTTTAATATACTTTTTCATTGAACCACATTCGGATTTTTGACGGGGAAATTTTGTAATCCAAATTTTGACCACTTTCCAACTAGCCAGTGCACTCAAATCTCTTTTTGCAGCACTATACCTGGTGGCAAAATTTTCGATCAGCTTCCGAATAACTTACTTATTCTAATTTCAACTGCAACTTTGTGTCTCAGAGCAAAATAAATTTTAATCTTTTTCTGACCACCACAAGCAGAATTTCTCTCTATTATGGTTTCTTAAATTTATAGTTGCTAAATATTTTAACCACTTTTTGATTAGATAGGGTGTTTAAATTTGAAATGGAATTCTGTGTTTGATGAAAATGCAGTCGAATTTCTATTTAACGGACATCTATTTTACGAATTTCTCTATTTTGCGATTTTTTTTCGAGGAACCAAGAACATTTTAGAAATTTCTTCGTAAAATAACTTCCAAATAGCGAAGTGAATTCTATATTTAACGAGCTTTTCTTTGAGCTCCACTTTACCTTTTTTTAAAAAATATTTCAGAACATTTCAAACTTTTTAATACATTTTATGAGGAAAATGACCTTGAATTGATTTTCGAAGCCACTTAACTTTTAGAGAAAGCAGTAAAACCCCTTTCCCTTTTTGTTTGTATTTCAAACGAAAAGCTCAGACAAAATTAACGGATTTTATCAGCACCAATTAAACTTAAGAAAGCATGAGGTAATGTATATGGAATGCATGTAGTATGTTTAAAATTACATAAGTTTATATATAAAATTATAATTTTATATATAAACTTAACTTTTTTAGTTGAAAATGTATGTAGCATGATATTGTAACTTAATAATGTTTTGCCCTATTTTTGCTTTCCTTGCAGATTTCTTTCATTTAGATTTATAAAATAAATCGTAGATACGAGTTTATAAGATAAAGGTGTATCAATTGCTATTTTAATTATTTCTAGGGTTTATGTCCAACTGTACAAGTATCATAGTTTTCGGTACAGATCTAAAGAGTGTAATATCTTAATTAATTGTATTTATATACAACTCAACACCTATGTACAACTCAACTCCTATGTTCACAACAACCGGGTTACGATGTTTACTCGGTAACCGATAGCACCAAAATGTTATTGTAATCTTCAATATCCTTATTAAAATATAATTAAATCTTATGAGAGTATTCTCAGTATTATTGTAAATATATAAATACATCACAAAGAGATTTTATTAAGCTATTTCACCGTCTAAGAGAACTTAATACTCATCCGAAATTTCGATGAAATTTGAACTTCGTCTTTACGATCAGTGCTGATTTTTGTAGCATGATCTGCGGCAGAAGAAACTAAAAAAACCCACAAGAAACTAAAAAAAAAAAATAAAAAAAATATCACAGGAGTGGGTCGACTTGAGGGGTAAAATTCATAGCCACCGCAGACAAATCTCCACATGAGTTTCTTTCCCTGTAAATTTGAATTTGTTTTATTCGAAAATCAAAACCAGTAAGAATGACCTTTAAGGAGTATTCCCACTGCATGCGAAGAGCATTTGCAAGTGTTAGGATGAACTGTTTTCATATGCACGAATTGCATAAAAAATGCTTCTTGAAATTTACGGCTTCAAATCAGTTTGCATTTGCGAGCAACAGTTTTATGAATGCAATTTTTCCCTGCAATGAAAAGAACCCTTTGAAAAATTTAGCCAAGGCGCCCTCTGTATCTTATTTCAATCTCTCATACTTTTTTTCCGCATTTCCCAAAGATGGCAACATTAAAGTCCTTCGTTTCATTCCACAACATCCGCTACAGCCTTGTTGCTGCATGAACCAAAATCGAATTAATATTCGGTGAACTCAAATATGGTAAGTGCAATCCTTTTCAATCTAATTATTAAGACAATTTTTGAACATATATGCTTCATTTTTCGTTGCTATATGTGTTCTTTTTGCTTATGGTAATTATATTTAGACAAAAAGTCAAGTTGAATTCTTATGTATTTATAAGTTTTTATTTGTGTGAGTAACATATAACATATTTTAAAGTTTTAACTTAATATTCTGTTTCAGTCTTTGGTAATACCTGAAAAATTTCAACACATTCTTCGTGTTATGAACACGAATATTGATGGCAGAAGAAAAGTTATGTTTGCGTTGACCGCTATTAAGGTATGTTTTTTAATAATGCCCATTTTAAAGCATGCAAAATTCTGACTTAGAAAGATGTTACTTCATAATGCAATATTGCTTTTTTTGAGATTTAAAATCACTTATTGCCCAATGATTAGAACTTAGTTCCGGAGAGAAAAAAAGTTAGATCTTAAACCCCCTTTCCCTCCTCACCCGTTTTCAATCCTCTATCTCTTCTACTAACATTTCTTTACTTTTACTAATATTGTCCTCTTTTTCTCACTTGATCTAATTTGGATTCTCTGTGATGGAAGATTATGAGATCTGAGGGCAGAAAGAATTATTATTTAAGATAATTCTAGTTCTTTCACAAGGTGTAGTTTTTAATCTGTAATTACTTGAAGCAGTTCTATATGCATCGATTTTTAAAATAGAGCATTATTTATATGTTATTTACTGTGTCTTACAAGTGGACAGCAAAGATTTCATGTTTATAATTATCTCTTCTGTTATTTGCATTCTCCATTCCCTCAATTGTCAAATTTTGAAATTTCCTCTTATAAATTAAGTTAAGATTTTATGGCACCTGTTTTGCTTAAGAAATTTGTCAATGCTGATTTTTATAGCATCTGGTTTATCTTTCATGGTGTAGGGATTATGTCATGCCATATTCTAGAACAGGGGTTTCCAACTCACATGAGGCTGGGGCTGCAACTTTATCAAAGTTTTATGTAGGACTCTTACATTAAATATTACTGTCAGATGCTTATCAAGTTGTACCAAACAGAGGTATTGAATTACAAATTAAAATAAAAAGTTGATTTTTGAAAATATTTCATCGCACATTCAAATACTTTGGCTACAATAACTTTAATTGCGCACCCATGTATTAAACAATTAATTTGCAACAGATATCAAGTTGTACAGATTTTAAAACCCTTAGATTTTTACAAAAATTATCCGCAAAGAAATGACAACTTATATATTGTAGTTCGCGGGCTGCCTATTGTTAACCACTGTTCTAGAAGTTTACCGTTATGGAAATCTTGATTATTTATGTTATGAAGCTGAGTTTCTGATTTCTTTTAAATATTACAAAATTAAAAATGCTTTCCAAATGAGCCAAAATATGGATGAAAAATTTGACAGCATTTTTATGGCTGTTTAATATAATTTCAACACAAAATAAAGCATTCAGTGAATTAAATTTTTTTAATACTTAGTTGTATCTTAATTTGACATGACTGATAAAACCATGATTAATACTGGATAAAATCATCATTTGATAAAAACTATGCAATTCTTCAGTGGAGAGTCACTAATCTGATATTTTTGGATTTGGCAGATTTTCTACATTTTCAATATTTCGAATTTTCTAGTATTGTAATCCATATTTACATGATTTTTATATATAAAATCAATTCTTGTATTGACCTGATTTAAAAGCTACAAACTACGATTTGCGAGTTAAAAATATTTTTATTCCTTAATTGTATTTGCACAATTGTAATATCAAACATTGTTTTTCATATTGATATGCAATGTAAAAGCTACGCATTTCAATTTTCTCGGACGCTATCTAAATAATGAATTAAGTTTCATATGCTCACCATTTTAGATTCCAACATTGCAATTCATATAAGGACTAGTTTTTTAAAAAATTAGTTACCCTAAAGGTGTGATAGTCTTCACGTGTATGTAGTTTAATTAAAAATCTTATTTCAAAAAATGTTTGTTAAACATGAAACCTGTGTGGTTTATAAATTAGTAGTTTTCAGGGTTTTTCCCTTTGTGTCAGTCACCATTGCAATATTCCAGAAATGTTCACACAAGTTTACAAATGTGCAAAATATATCTCTTCTGGAAAGGATTGCTATACTAAACTGCAATGTTTCTTGACAATGGAGAAATATGCTGTGGGCAAACGAAGAAAATAGTTCCCGGCGCGATGTCTGTATTTTGAGGTAAATTACGCATTTCACAATAGAAATATGATAAGTTATCTTAACCCACACATATATAGCGTTAATTTGCTATAATTTTCTTAAAATTTTATATATTTTCAAATTTACGAGCGGCGCATCGCGGAATGGTATCTTTATTTAGNTTTTTTTTAATACTTAGTTGTATCTTAATTTGACATGACTGATAAAACCATGATTAATACTGGATAAAATCATCATTTGTCAAAAACTATGCAATTCTTAGGTGGAGAGTCACTTATCTGATATTTTCCATATCAGGGGTCTGTCTAGGTTTTTCTGAGAGGTACCTATTTTGTGAAAATTTAGACATAATATGTGAAAAATTAAAAATGATACTAAAAAATCAACACAAAAACATAGTAAAAATATAGATTTATCGTTTCTTAAGGAAATAAAAATAAAATTTTAAGAAAAAGTACTTTGTGAAACTACCGTTTTTCCTAAATCTGAATTTGTGAAAATACTGTTTTTCCTAAAATTGAATTTGTGGAGGTACCGCTAAACGGTAGTAAATTCAACGTGGACAGACCCCTGCATATTTACATGATTTTTATATATAAATCAATTCTTGTATTGACCTGATTTAAAAGCTACAAACTGCGATTTGCGAGTTAAAAATATTTTTATTCCTTAATTGTGTTTGCACAATTGTAATATCAAACATTGTTTTTCATATTGATATGCAATGTAAAAGCTACGCATTTCAATTTTCTTGGACGCTATCTAAATAATTAAGTTTCATATGCTCACCATTTTAGATTCCAATATTGCAATTCATATAAGGACTAGTTTTTTTAAAATTAGTTACCCTAAAGGTGTGAGTCTTCACGGGTAGGTAGTTTAATTATAAATCTTATTTCAAAAAATTTTAAACATGAAACCTGTGTGGTTTATAAATTAGTAGTTTTCAGGGTTTTTCACTTTGTGTCAATCATCATTGCAATATTCCAGAAATGTTCACACAAGCTTACAAATGTGCAAAATATATCTCTTCCTTTAATCTGGAAAGGATTGCTATAAAATTTTCATGTCATTTACATAGGCACATTGTCACAATTTCATTGTTTTTGTAGATTTTGTTACATTTATGACAGGCTTGCATTACTTCCTCTTTGTAAATGAGGTTATTCAATTTACTTAATCAATTTTGAATTTATCTAAAAATTAATAACTTCATTTTTAATAAAATTTTTTTGAATGTACAAAGGTGTCCTTTGAGTGCCGTTTAGATATTTTTGAATATAGAAATTTGTTTAGATTCATAGTAGTTGACATTCATATTGTTGGTTGACATTAAAAGTTTTTTCTTTATCAGATAGCTTTTATAGCTTGCCTTTTTTTGACTGAACCTTGCCTTTTTCGCTTCGACATAGTTGGCTATATTTGAAAAATTTCCATGTTAATTAGTGCATTCTAAATATAACATAGATGGTATAAATAATATTTCAGGAAATTTTATTCCACCCTAAGTAGTAATTAGTTAATCTTATAACATTTTATGTTTTTTAGGGTGTTGGTCGAAGGTTCTCCAATTTAGTATGCAAGAAAGCAGATGTAGATTTAAACAAAAGAGCAGGAGAGCTTTCTGATGAAGAGGTAAATAAAGTTATTACGTTTATAATTATATTGTTATGCTTATTTAAGTGTTAATTTATGTAATTATGCTAATTTACTTGTTATAGCGGAGAAATCCACTCTGCAACAATTAGTTTTGTCTCAAAAAGTGGCTTATTTAATTTTTGTATTTAGTAGCTTTAAAAACTTTTATAATCCAACTGTTGGTATTAAAGCTCTTCTACAAGGCAGAGAAAAAATGGCTAAAAGCTGTTATGTTTCTCTCTCTCCCTCTCAAACTCTGAAAATAGTGATAAAACTGTACTACACTTAAATTTTTTATTATGATGTTTAGTTTCTGAATAATGAAATTATAATATGAAAATAGTTTTTTTTGGTCGTTGTTCAGGAATCTGTACATGGTCTCTGGAATGTAATAATGACTCATTTAAAATAGTAAGTGCAAGATAAAATGTTAAATCTGCCCTTATCCAGAAAATTTTAAAATTGAAACTATAAGTTGTAATTTTTTTAGCTTGAATAAGTATTTTTTTTTTTAAATACATAAGTTGCACCTATGAGCTGTTTACTCTGCTAAAAGTTTAAACATTCGTGATGGTGCTAAAGTAAAACAGTGATAGTACTGCTATCTGTTTTATTGCTGATAGAATTTTTCACTGTTACATAATTAAAAAGAGTTATCAAAAGTTAGCAATTTTTTTTTTGTAAAAACTGTAGAAACTGAGAATTTTTTTAAATTAAAAAAAGTTCCCTATATTTTTTTTTTGCATGTTTAGCTGTTTTAATTTAATAAGTTTGCATAAAAATTTTCTATTCTCCAGGGAAAATGTTTTGTTGTAAATTTACATTTTTATACCAATGTATGTAAATTCCTAAATTAAGCTAGTGTTCATTTTATTGCATGATTATTTAACTTTTGATAGTGTAACTTTGAATTTAGTATGCTCAAAAGTAAGGAACAGTCCTAAAACAAAATCATTACATTTTCATTTATTGGTCTGAAAAACCTATCAAGTAGATAAAATTGTCACAATATTTGAAAATTGTGCAAATTGTAAGATAACCATTAAGAAATTTTTGAAATCATTTTCTGCCTACATGGATCATTTTATATCATTTATGATTATATGCTAGGAAATGATTTGTATATTGTGGTAGAATTACCACTGTGGTTATTAAACATAAATTCAGTAGTGTATAATACATTAACTCGATTGTATCTCGAGATACCCTTTGAATAGATAAAGGTTGTCATTGTCGACAACTACGCTCCCTACATTGATTACCTGTAATGTGATGTGAACTGTTTGTCTAAGATAGCTACTCTTCTAGACAATCGTCTGGAGCTGTGGCGTTGACTATGGTAACGAGGTATGATTATTTCAAGTAGGGGTGTGGGGTCCCTCTTTAGGACTGGTTTCGATGAGAGAAAGAAGACCTCTTCATCTAAGCTACCCTCCCTAATGTGCCCTCTTGTTTCCATTAAACCAGACTGCAACAGACATTGTGGCGGAAAGAGTACCTATCTAAAACAAACAGTATCTTACCTTGTCTGTTAAGCTTTCGATGGATGGTTAACATTGAGCAGTTAATTTGCTATTTGTGAATGTGACATAGTCCTCTTCACGCTGTTGTTTCTCAGTCTCATTTACGCACAACAGGATCTTGCACGCACTTGACTGCTAATAGCAGCACAAGAGAGGCCACACACACAACCATGAACTTTTACAGCTCTCACAACAAACGTTCAAAACTTGGTGACCTTAATATATAGGCTCTCACCACAGTGAAAATCCAGTGAACTTAATACAGATTCTATAAAATACTCATGCATTTATCTCTATAAATATTTTAAAAATGCATTTAAAATTTGAGTTTTTTTAATTAAAAACAATTTTGTAAAATAATTTCAGATACTATAATAATAAGAAAATAACTTCTCATTCTTTAAATTAATAATAAGATTAAAAACATTTCTTAATTGAACCCGTTTAATTTTATTTTTTGTGAACATGTTCAATTTTTATTTTCTGAAGTCATGAAAAATAAATAAAATTTGTGCATTTTCTAGGAGACAGTGTGTGTTGAAAAAGGACTTTTGTATTTTGAATAATTTTTAGTAGTTTTTGTTCTGTTTGTTTTAGAAGTAAATACTTGTTCATGATTTTAAACCTGGGTTAAGAAAAGTTAATTGGTTATTTTATTATTTCGTTTATAAATTTTTAAAAATCTCTTTAGGTGGAAAAATTGATCACAATTATGTCTAATCCCCGGCAATACAAAATTCCAGATTGGTTTCTAAACAGGCAAAAGGACATTAAGGATGGTAAATTCAGCCAAGTTACTTCAAACGGTTTAGAAAACAAACTTCGTGAAGATTTGGAGCGTCTTAAGAAAATCCGAGCTCATAGAGGATTGAGACATTACTGGGGGTATGTTTGCTTTTATTATTTCAATAGCTTTTTACTGTTTATTTAGTATTGTAAAATTTTATTTTTTGTCTGTGATTAATATATGAGTTTCATAAAGTTTTTGTTAAGTAAATTTATTTTTTGGAGGATATAAATTTCATTCTTTTTTGCAAAAGACTGATAGGTGGTTGATTTCACAGGGTACACAAATTTCTACTGCTGTTACTTTTTACCTACTTTTCTAGGATTTTTCATTTGTAATTGTGTGTGGCAAATCATTGTGATATTAAATATTCTGTATAAAGTGTTTTTGATCATTTTATTTTCTTGCCTATGATGAATTTATCTGAGCCAATTACTTAAAGACACAATGAATGGTTACTCAATGATAGAGCTGAAATGGCATATAAATTTCTGTAATATCTATTTTTCATATTTGCAAATAATTTTCAAACTTAATTTTTTTGTTAGTAAGTTAGAATTTGTGCATTTACGTGCACTGGTCTTTGAATTAGTATCAGTAATGTTGGTTATTTAAAGCTATTCATAGTTCATCAACTAGTAGTACTGAAATGTTCCTTAACCTAATTTATTATAGATATTTCAGCTTTCAAATAAGGTTGCAAGGATGTTCAAATGTCATATATTTAAATATTTCTTGAACTAGATGTTAATTGATTTAAGATTGACCCGTGCTCTCTTAATTTTTCATTTGTTCTAAATCTTAGAAATTGTAGTTCTTTTGTTACCTTGAAAATTGTGGTTTTCATGGATGTATAGCTGTTTTCTAAGTAGATTTCTGGTCTGCTGATGATTACAGTTGTGGCTCTGAGGCTACTTGTGTAGTTAATTTCTTGCCACTGCCTCCTAGAAGAAAGATGTCTCCAGCTATCTGGCTGATGTAGGCTGAAGCATTATACATTCCATTATCGCCTCACAGTTTCTTTTGGGACTATGAGTGGGGAGATAGACCGTGTGAAGCACAGTTGTACTCGTAGAATTTTGGTGTGCTAGACTGTTCTGGATAATGCCTATCATTCAACGAAAATTGCCATTTATTTTTGTTACCTTGAAAATTGTGGTTTTCATGGATGTATAGCTGTTTTCTAAGTGGATTTCTGGTCTACTGATGATTACAGTTGTGGCTCTGAGGCTACTTGTGTAGTTAATTTCTTGCCACTGCCTCCTAGAAGAAAGATGTCTCCAGCTATCTGGCTGATGTAGGCTGAAGCATTATACATTCCATTATCGCCTCACAGTTTCTATTGGGACTATGAGTGGGGGGATAGACCGTGTAAAGCACAGTTGTACTCATCGAATTTTGGTGTTCTAGAAATTCTACTGCTGTTACTTTTTACCTACCTTTTTAGCATTTTTCATTTGTGATTGTGTGTTGCTAATCATTGTGGTATTATTCTGTATACAGTGTTTTTGGTCATTTTATTTTCTTGCCTATGATGAATTTATCTGAGCCAATTACTGAAAGACACAATAAATGGTTACTCAATGATAGAGCTGAAATGGCATAAAAATTTCTGTAATATCTATTTTTCATATTCGCAAATAATTTTCAAGCTTAATTTTTTGTTGGTAAGTTTGAATTTGCGCTTTTCTTTTAAGTGCACTGGTTTTTGAATTAGTATCAGTAATGTTTATTTAAAACTATTCATATTTCATCAACTAGTAGTTCTGCAATGTCCCTAAACCTAATTTAATTATAGATATTTCAGCTTTCAATTGAAGGTTGCAAGGAATTTCGGTGTGCTAGACTGTTATGGTAGTGCCTATCATCATTCAACAAAAATTGCCCCTTTTTTTGTTACTTCTTGAAAATTTTGCTTTTCATGGACGTATAGCTGTTTTCTAAGTGGATTTCTGGTCTGCTGATGATTACAGTTGTGGCTCTGAGGCTACTTGTGTAGTTAATTTCTTGCCATTGCCTCCTAGAAGAAAGATGTCTCCAGCTATCTGGCTGATGTAGGCTGAAGCATTATACATTCCATTATCGCCTCACAGTTTCTTTTGGAACTATGAGTGAGGAGATAGACCGTATGAAGTACAAATATACTTACAGAATATTGAATTCCAGAGGTTCATTCCTACATCTATTCTTTCTTAGGTTTTAATGTTTACACTCAGTTGTTTCTTCGTGTCAGATTTTTATCGAGATTAAAAATTAGATCTTATTAGGTTAACTGCTTGTTGGAATATACATTTATTAAAGTGCAATTTAGCAGGGATTTTTAGCAGCATTGTCAGGAGGGGGGGGAGAGCGATTGTGGTTTACTGCTGTGGCTCTAAAAAATACTTAGTGAACAATTTCTCTATACTGTTAGCTAATTTATTTAAATTTACTTGGTTTGCTGAGCAATAATATACAAGATGTTGTCCTTTGTAATGATAAAAAATATTTCGTTTTGCATTGACTTGTCATTTTGGTAGCTTTTAATTAGCATTTTATGAAACAATTGGCTGAATTTTTTTGGAATTATCTGTGGTTTAGCAAAACATTATGTTGTAAATAAAGAAGTTTCTATCAAATAGCCTTAATGAATGTTTCTCTAATTCTTGTTTATAAGTTACTAGCTTTTTAGGGAAATATCCTAAAATTAGAAATATAAACACTATTATTTCTTTTAAAAGATAAAGTATGCACCATAAGGAAGACAAATGCACAGCTATCTGGCTAAATGAAAATACACAGTTAAGAGTTTGGAAAATTTTCTTTTTTTGTCCAAACTGATATATTTTTTTTTGTGTCAAATTGTGCACAGTGTATCTTTTGCCATAAAAACTAGAAACTGTATTTTTTTACTTATTGTTCCAAATTTCAGTAAAGATTTGATATATCAACATGGTTTAGGCAACAAAAAAAAAGTTTTCTGGAGTTTTTCTTTTGAGTATGTTATTGTGAATTCAGTGACTTTAAAAGGTGATAGCATTTTGTGTTGTGTTAAATTTTTTTATTATCCTGGATGCATTGCTGTTGTCAATATGGCTTTCTGATCTGTTGATAACAGTTGTGGCTTTGAAGCTACTTGTGTAGTTAATTTCTTGCCACTGCATCCTATATAAAAAATGTCTCCAGTTTCTCAGCTGATGTAGGCTGAAGCTTTATACATTCCATTATCGCCCCATAGTTCCTTTTGGTGCTGTGAGTGGGGAGATAGACCGTATAAAGTACAAATGCAATTTGTTTATTATATGGTTGATAGTCGTCTTGATTTTTCTGGCAAGATATTGTCCTGCGCATTTAGAGCTGTATGTGAAATTCTGTTCAGATCATCCTGTTTTCCGCAAATACAGATCTAATTATATCCAGGGTCGTTTCGAGATAGCTAAACCCCTACTTTATGGAAATCTTGAACTCAATTACAGATTTTTTTAATAAATTATTGGTAATAGGGACTAATACTTGTTTTTTAGTTAGAATAGAATTGTAATAAATATATGTTTGATCTTGAACTGCAGTAGGACCCCGATTTTCCAATGCCCAATGATACACTTTTGTTATCTGACACTCATTTGTTTAAATTGTTCTGACATGTTTTAACGTGATTGAAGCTTGTTACCAGATAATTGTTGTAGTTACAATCAAAATGTGTTTTCTAACAGAAGACAAGATTAAAAAATTTACTACATATAGCTATTTCATTTGAATAATTTTAATCACGGTGCATTGCTAATAAACTAAACTAAAACCTACGCTTGTAAAGCTGTCCTTATTATATGACTTTAGATTTTTTTGACCTTGCCCTATTCAGGAGGGTGTTGGTTCACTTGGGCTTTATAATAGTGATCCCCTACCTGGCCACCGGTACCAGTCCATGCATCAAACATTTTGGGCAGTCTCATGCTCATTGAATTCTTTCAATTTTACTTACGGTGGTGTGGTTGTTTTGGGTTTGTGTGAACTTTTTTGGGAGAAGGGTTAACTGGTAGCTGAAAGAAGTCCCCAAAAGCCATACCGATGCCATAATTGAAAGCAATTAAAGTGGTAAAATAAAATCCATCTAAAGTATAACATGGGTCATTGTATCATCCCTGCCGGTCTGAAAACTAAGAGCAGGGTTAGTGTTAATTTATTTATTGATTATTTTTTTTTTAAAATTTTTCATTTGAAATTTTGGTTTGCTGATTTCATTTTTTTTATTATTATTTGAAACTTCGTGAATATCTGCTTTTATTGCGATTCATATTCATGCTATTTTAATTACAAATATGAATTTTTATATTTACCTGATTTGAAAGTTACTCATTGTGAATGCGTGTTTGAAAACATTTCGATTTGTATTCAGGTTGATTTAAAATCCACTACTGTTAAAAACATTTTTTTTCTAAAAATTTTTATTCTGAATATAAAAATACCTGTATTTTATTTATTTTGCATTACAATTTCCTTTAATGTACTCTTGTGAGCAAATTTTAATTTCGTTATATGCCATTATTTAAAAAAAAAAAAATTTTTTTTTAAAGAAAATGTTCTGACTTTCTTTTGGTTCACTACCTTTTTCATTTTTTTCAAAACTTTTTTTTTTATAGCTGCGACAGCATGTCAATGATGAATTAATTAGAGCCAAAGTTAATTAAGACTTAACATATGGTTTTTAAATGATAGAGCTGATTTGACATTTGTTTTTTCTATCTGACATTATTTCAACATCTTTTTGTGTTATAAACTTTTCATAAATTTTAAACTCTTTAGGTATTATAGTAAATGATGTATTTTGTATGTTTTATTTGTTATTCATATTTTTTATGGGGACTTAACTTTTTGCTTCAACTTTAATCCAAACACTAAGCCTTACCTTTTTTTTATTTTTAAATATCATGTAGTAGGATACATGTTTATGATGAATATAGCAGAGCCAAGCCAATAAGACTTATAAATGGTTATGAAATGATAGAGCTGAATGACATGTATTTTTTAAAGTGCTATTTCTATCTTTTTTTGTTGAATAGATAAAAAATTAAACTTTATTAATTGTTTAACTAAACCTTGTACTGAGTAGGGTATATAGATTTGGGTTGCTTGGATATAGTTATGAATTCAAAAATATTCTTATCCCAAATTAAATTGATAGCTGTATCGCAATTTAATTTTGAATTTTATTTTTTCAGCCTACGTGTTAGAGGTCAACACACAAAGACAACTGGAAGAAGAGGCAGAACAGTAGGTGTATCTAAGAAGAAGAATTAATGTTAATAAATTTATTACACTCCTATACTGTGTTTTTTTATCTTTTATACTTATTTAAGACATTTCATTTTTCTTTCTTGGTTGCGAGTATATCAGCATTCCTTGAAATAATTTCAATGATTGTAATTATTTCAAGGTAAGCTTTATTAAATTTACATTGCTCAGTTGGTATATCTGGAATTGACTGCAAAATTTGATTTAAAATGTTATATAAGTTTCAGAGTATTCTTCATTTGTCAAAAATTAGATCTGAAATCTCCTTTTCTTACATAAAAGTTGTTTTCCCTTATTATTTATTTTTTTGTTTGGACTTTTAATTAAAATACACTCAATTTTTCTTAAATAAGAATATTCATTTTAATTTATTTAAATGAATATTGTTTAATTTTTTATGTTTAAATTTTTTATTCTTTTTCTGCATTTAAAAAAATTGTAAAATAAGTTAGTTTTAGTGTTTTAACTTTTACACAACTCACTGAGAGAATGTCTCATACCTATTTTCTAAATCATTTTAATCGTAGGTATTGGATTATCATAATTTCTGCTATTCTGGACTAAAAAGGAAATATTTGTAAACAAGTGTTTAAGATCACAGTAAATTTTCCAGAGAGGGAAAGAGAATTTTCTGTTAAATGCTTCATGATTTGAGTTAATGCATTTTCACTACCATTTGTGCAAAGGTTATAAAATTTCTACATAGACTACAAGGAGCAATTAATAATTAAATTTGGGGCATTAAGTAATGTGTGTAGTTCCTAAAATTTTTCTTAATCTGTCCGTTCGAGAGAGATCATTTAAAAAATGAACTTTTCAATTTCTCTTAATTGCATTGATGTATGATTAAAAATCGTTCACACTTATTGTAAAAGTAGTGGTGAACAAAAAAATTTTTGTATGGGTTAAAAAAAATCTTGGTTAAGTTACTATCTTGGGTTAAGTTACTTCTGACTAATTTATCGACTTGAGTAATTCTGCATGATTTTTTATCTATCCACAAACACAATGAAACCTGGGCTCTAATGTTTTTTTTTATATAAGCGTTATCAAAATTTGTCCATATATCATTTTTTTTATTTTTTTATATGACACTAATAAAACAAGCAAGTATAAGGATAATAACAAAATATTTAACATGGAATCTTTTAATTCTTATCAAACGAATATTTTTTGTTTATAAAATATACAAATGGATGGATTGAAATTGTTTGATTTTGTTGTATTTTAATGCTGCAATATGATAATTTAAGTTTATTAAATTTAAAACCACGATAAAATATTGAATAATATGAAATTTGACTTGCTTTTTATAACAGCAAAGTTAATTCTAAATGCTTAGTTTAATAAATTAAAGAGTAGTTTTTAAAAAAGCTATTAAGGAAATATCTAAATAAACAGTAGTTGGTTGACATGTAAGAGACTATTTTAACCAAACGAAAAAGAAAACCCACGTATTTAACGAATAACTGACAGAACATTTCTTTGAGCCCAACATGCTTTCTTTACTTGGTTGCTAGTTAAAGAAGGTATTAAAGAGCAGTTCATTATAACTAGTATTAAAAGATGCTACTACGTTAAAATTGAAGCTATTTTCATATGTAAGTTTTTTTTCTGACTAAAATTGTGCCTTCTAAATTGAAATTTAAACCTAAAAAGTGTTTAATAGATACCAATCTAACCTACGACCCCTTTTTTTAAAAGCTTGTAACATCTTTCATAAGAAAAATTTCTCATTGTTTTTACTTTTAAGGGAAGGTACGAATATCCGACGTAAAGAAAGTATGTTTTTTCTGATCAGTAATTTATTATCTATAATGAAAAACTGAATTTAACATCGGTCAAATTATTTGAAAGTTTGCATTTTTTTAAAATTGCACTTGGTCTTCTACATTTTCATCGATATCTGTAAGAATCTTCCTTAGTTGCTGTTTGTTGTTGCTTCCTTAGTCCACTTAAGCACACTTTGCCCGAAATTTTAGAATGCTAATGTAGGTGAAACATAATTTGCTGCACAAAATTTCTCCTGAAGCAATTCTCCGCTGTAGTCGGTTGCTCTCCAGCGGATTTTTTTTTCTTCAGACATCAGTCTGATCAATATGCAACAAAAATTAGCACCCTGTCACTACCCAAAATGCTATATTCTACTGATAACATATTAAAATACCTAAAGGTTTGTCTTTTTTAATGTATAGTGATATTAAAAAGTTAAGTATACATTATACTAGTAATCGAAATAAATTACCTCAGATGAGATAGTACTAACAATAAGAGGAACAAGTAATAGCACTGAAATACTGCTTTCTTATCTCTCCTCTAATACTCGTGAGACTGACAGAAATCTTGATGTGTTAACACTATTTTAGACAACGCTGTATGCTATGCTCTTTTGCAGGGCTGCCGCAAGTCAACTTAAATGCGATTTTGGCAACTTTTTCAAGCAAAAACAGCCTAAAAAGACAAGGATACTTTTTTTTTGGGAGACCTTTTATTTAAAAAAAAAGATATAAAACTTTTTTTTTTCCCACTAATAATTTCAGCGAGTTTCTCAGTTGTAACAAGTTTTAATATTTTCCACTCTTCTAAGCTTTTTATTAAAGTAAATTTCACCCCCCGGATTCTGGGCCTGTTTATAGCTTGGAGCCATTTTTTTTTTAATACTGTTTATGGAGATTAAAGAGTGGAATGTAAAATTAACTAATATTTTAATACGGAACGTTCACATTAGAGCATCCTCATCGAAGAACGAATATCTAATAATATGGAAACAAAATATAAGAAACGGTTGCCAGATTCGCGAACTATCTTTCACATGGCGACATGAGTAAATTTAGATCCATGCCATTTAACAAATACTTTAAAAAAATGACTTTATTGCATGAATGAAAAACTTAAAATTTTTTATTTCGAAGCTTTAATATATTGTTTATTTTGAAAAAAAAATTAAGGATATCAATGGTTTTCTTCGTGATGATAAAAAGTCGTGTTTCCGAACGAATCGTGCAACTTTCAATTTCCGAACCCAGATTTTGCTTAAATTTTTCAATTTTGTCCATTCGATTTAAGAGACTATAGAAGATAATACTTTTTAACAGTTCATTCGATTAATGCTGAATAAATGACATCAAAACAAATTCTATATTTTTTCCTTTCTTATGAAAGTAAGTTGTTTTGTATTCAAAATTGAATGCTATCATCTAGGAGATAGTATTATAAGCTTATTTTCATCAGACACTAAAAAACCTTTTTCAAAATTATTGTAAATAAATGGTTTTATGTCGATTTGAAATGAAAAACAATATCTTTTTTACTCTTTCATGGTAACTCTTACAAAATTTTAAAAATAAATAAAAAAGTTTATTATTCTAAGGAAAAATTTAATTTGAACTTTTTGTAGTAATCTCTGATATATAATATCTCTCGCGATATAAATTCATGCATGTTTCATAAATTGGATGCCATATTATTTTCAACTTAATTATAAAATTGAAATTAGTATTTGAATAATAAAAATTTAAAGAAAGATTCATCTGAAGTTGACTGCGTCCCGCAGTGGACTGATCGTTTCGACACGGTTCCCAGCAGATCAGCGAAGTCAAGCATCATTGACTGCGGGTGGGTGACCACTCGGATCAGTCTGCGTAAAGACCGAGGTTGTGCGGTATTGGTTCTCGTTAAACTGTTCTACCGTAAAGTGCTCGACTTCGCTTGCAGGTCGTCGGGCTACTGAAGCGGGGGTGCCATCCCCTCTGCAGAGTATCAAAATTGTGATATCATCCTCAGGGATGTTTCCCAGACTGTCGCCAATAGCCCATTGTGCAGCTCTAGTGCGACGTAAATGAACTACAACAACAACTGAAGTTGATTAAGGATCCTTTCTTTGAAAATATATTATGAAATAAAATTGAAAAATACTCAAGCGAACTAGCGCCATGAATGAGCGAAAATTCGCATACATTTAGTTTTTTATAAGACTTAATCTTAAGTCTTAAATAAATTTCGCTTTAAAAACATTTGTTTCGTTAAGCTTCGTTTTTGCACTATAACCTTTGCCGGACTGTGTTGGAGTCGCAGGCAAATTTGAGTTAGTGCTGCAGTTGAACTCTGTGAATTCTGCCACCGGCCTAGCGTATTAATGTTGATCTTATTTTATTCAACAATAAAATTTAAAAAATGAAAGTTAGAAAGCGATTCTAAAGAAATTGAACGAATAGTTTTTCTGAAACATTTTGTTCACACTTAAAGCGATGGTTAACTGAATGTAAACAATAACAAGTTTCTTTAAACCTGAAGAAATTTAGAAAACTTCTGGTATATCCGTCCTCTTATGTTATGCTTTCGAGGCAATGTGTGAACAGGCTTGATATTTAATCATACACCGAAGTTGCCAAGTACACAAATCGAAAATATATCATGGTTAGAACAAAATGTATAAGCAAATAATAAATCTAAGTTAAGTAAAAGACGTAGATAAGAAATAATTATATTTCAACAAATTCTATGTGCGATACGCCACTGGATTTAATTAACTTTACGTTAATTAACATTCTAAATTATGTGGTGTAACTTAGCTGAACTTTATCATGCCATTTTGCTTAAAAACGATCAGCTGGCGCTGAATTTATTGGTCACATTTGTGGGCATTTGTGATCTTCATTTTAAAGTGCAAGTACCCGATTCGTGGTCCTTTTAATACGACTTTCTTAAAGAGAAGAAGAAAAGAAAAAGCTTAAATTCTTATACAATTTAAAAAAGAAAAAATTAAAATAAGGATTTTTATGTAAACTGCTATTTACCGTTCAATAAATTACTTCCAGCCAATAACCATGGCCAAACATTTTGATTCCTGTGCAACAATTAGTAATTTATATGGAACTAATATCTTCTTCGAGGTTAACTTAAGATCATAATTCAATTTTCTGCATTTTCTTGTCACATCTGCTGAGGTATGTTAATTCAAGTGATGTTATGGTTTTTATACAATATGTATGTATGCTTGTTTACTTTCTTGCCACAGATTTCCTTCAGACA